TAAAATGCCCTGTGTTTTCATGGTCTTATGTTTTTACCAATTGTCTATATATATTTTGTCAAAATGAGAATCAACATGAAAAATTGTACACGACGGTACAAAAGGAGATAATCAAAGCATTAGACCTACCACCAGACTGTAATCACTTTTCTTAATAAATGTTCTTGAAAATGATGATAAAATGACCATAATAGTATTCCAATTCATTTGTGAACGATCTCCCATCAATGGCAACAATGACAGAATTGTGCGGATACCATCATTTCTATGATTATCCTTTTTAATGTAGCTTCCTTAATCCAAATGCCCAATAGTGACGTTCAGAAATCGGAAAACTGGTGATCCATTAACATTAATTTAAAGCATCTGTACAGGTCTAATAGGACTTGTCCAAAGATTATAATACATCATCCGTATAAAATAGTATTTCATAAATAAAATACATAAAACTAGAAGTATGTCTAGGTCTTGAGATAAGAATTTATAAGATGGAGGCATGATGCAACTCGTGTGATATTCCATTTAGATACAAACATAAAATCGCAAAAACTGCGATAATCACCTGCTTCAATTTGCAGGTTTCCCTGAAAACGATTTAATTTAAATTTAAGAATTGAGTTTATTTTTATACAGGAACAAAGCAAAAAAATAATGTGGTTGAGATGCACGTAAATGCATATAGATACGAAGCATTGAAATTTTTTTTTTTATACAAATTGGATAATTGACAATAATAATAATAATAGTATAATAATAGTTGATAATTTTAGCCAATAGAATAATGTTTATTTCGAATTATTTTCCCAGAATCCTCTGCATTTTGCAAAATGTTGGCCGGTAGGTAGTATATTATGTGTGTTTTGCATGTTTGAATGGAACGACAATCTCGCTAGTTTCTGTTTACGAATCTTTCCGCGCGTTCCTGCGTTGTGTGATACTACTGATCAAAAAAGTTCGACACTCTCGTGCATGAGACTCACGCGAGATCAGATTTTCATCGCATATCAATGTATTATTAGAGTTGCTTGCATACCACTATGTTATTAATCATTCTCAACACCAACTCACTCACGACAATACTCGAATAATTATAAAGCCGACGTACGTATCTCTGTTGAAAATATACTATTTCTGAGATTTCCCCCGCATAAAGGAGCTCCATCTTTAGTGCAAGGGTTAGCCATACATTCTTCATCTGATAAAGCTTTGCCATATCGACCGTAACTATTACCACAGAAGCAGAATTTTCCTTTTTGAACAGCCGCATAGAAAAAACCGGAAGCGCTGCACGCGTCGATACACGCCTCACGTGTCATCGCAGTGGCGTTGTCCACGAGTTCGGCGTGTCGAAGGTCACGCACAGTCGTATCCACGTAACACCCCACGTCCGGAGAGTCGGTATCTGTTATAAAAAAAAAAAGTGATAATCATTAAAACAAATAAGTGTCCATATATCTTTATAGTTAGAACGTGTATTCTAACGATAACAGAATTACCCAGTTTTTGCTACATAGGCACGTCAACGTACATATGGCGAATATCGAAAATATTCATACAACCTTGTTCGTAATGAGTTGACAATATTGGCATTTCTTTTAATTTTTCCTGGTACCTTATTCCATTCAAATTTAATACAAATCATATTTATTTATTCATAATGCACTTTGTGCTCAACATAGATTAAATGAAAACTGTAATAATTTACACAATGAATACTCGAACAAAGTAAACTCAATAACAAATCATAATAATTCTCAATCATAATTGTAATATATACATTTTTGTTGTTATTTAAGTATATCAGAAACTCTTGTTTGATATTGCAATATGAATACATTGTTATCACCTATACATATGCCATTAGTATGAGATATATAGAAGGAAATATTTTGTAATCGAGGTTGCCCTAGTTTATTTTCCTAAATGGTGTATACTCATGGTGTCCATATATATAATTGCTGTTTTGCAATTCTTCAACAATGATCACATCACATAGACTTTCCCCACATCAATCAAAATATTACGACAATACGTCACCACATCTGGCACAGGATTGACTGCTGCTATACAACGAGTATAAAATGTTGTATATTTTTTCTATTGTTTCACAGTAAAGCGATCATATGCAATGGTTTACACCATTAAAGGCCTTTGAAAAATCAACACAAAAGTGTGTAAAATTGTCCACGTCAGAACTTACTAGTCCATCTAAACCCAGATTTTATACTTAGACGAGGACCTATTTGACCCATCCGCACTAGTATAGCTGCATGACATTCTTGAACAGACTATTTGCTATTATGACGAGATTTTTACTAACATCGACCATCAGCGCAGACAACCTCTAGAGTGTACTATATACTCTCTGCCACGAGATTGTGTACATCGTTATTTAACGTATACACAATGCGATTATTCGCATGTATATGGTTGTATGCAAACCTAACGTGCTAGTAGAGCACTTTTTGTGGTTTCTGTGCTTACTGTGTGATTGGTTAGCCGGACAAAAGCCGATACAGATTTGCATGGAGCTAATTTATATAAATGGAACCGACAAATATACACATCATGCATGCAGTGCCTTGTTCTGGCATTACAGTGAATGTTGTCGTACTAACATTTACGAATGTTTCCATTCAAGGAAATAATTACTGTTAGTTTTACCGTCCCAAATTTGAAATAATGGCCAAAATGCGAATTTTTAAATTATATTCTTTTGTACACATGACTGCCGCTTCTATTTAGTAGAATAATTCAAAATGTCTGGTTATAAAGCAAGTGGCTTCACGCCACTACATCGTCCGCCTGCACGGTGATGCTCCGTTCGAACATTCCTCCCTCCACAACACCGTGCGGTAATTCTATTCATAACCGTGTATGTCACGTGGTTGCGCGATAGAAAGTTTACCGACCAATAGAAAGCTTTGTTACAATGACTACCAAAAAGCGCTTGGGGCTTTGCATTTCTGATGTCTTCATCTTCGGCTTCATTTATATGTATATATAATATATATGTTGCAGTGACACAATGAGCTTTGCGGTATACTCTTCTATAATACTCAACAGTGGCGACAACACTATTACCACGCTTGATGGTCGCAAGGTTGGTAAAGCATAATAACATAATGGTTTACCATTTCCAGTGCGACTAAAAACGAACACATCAGACTCGGAACTAAGTACCCTGAACGGCTTTTGTCCGAATATTGTATTGCCTCGACATCCACTGCAAGCCAACACAGCTTCCACTGTGCGAGCATTTTCACCGCCTGGCAACCATCATGGTGAAAACAAAGGCCAACAACTCTCAGAAAACGGTACTTTGGGATGGTTGTTGACACCCCCTGAACCGTGTAACAAGATTACCCTGCATATGCAACATATTTAAATTTGGTTGTTTAGGATTTCTTTAAAGTTAAGTTTGTGCTGTTTTTTCGAGTTTAGCTATTTTCAACGGCTTTTCAACCGGCGTTCCACAGCAGCTCGCGCAGAGCCCATAGAAATACATGGTAGAGTGGTGCGCGTCTTTAATAGCGTCTTGTGACTTAGCTCCGCCCCGACAATGTTGGTCAAGCGCGTTGATGAAAGAAGCAATATGATTGGCTGTTGGTAAACTGATTCCAAACTGTGAGGGCATTGTCACATACACATATTCCTAATGAAATACTTCAAGGTGATAGTGGAGTGCTTCGCCGGAACATTCACCTTGAAAATTCAAGATGCGCCACTACGTTAAGCGATTAAGTGCCGTACGCGAGCGCCGGTTCGAGTCACGCACGCAGTACATATTTACTATAATTTGACGTAGTATTTACCTTGCCGTTTATTCGGTGTTATTTACTTACTTTACTTCCTACGTCAGCAGCAACTATGAGTTTTAAATTTGGTTATAAAGCAGTCACAGTAACAAGAATGAAATGACATATATTGCTATGGAAAATGTATATATTGTTTCAAATTTGGTGAATTTTGTTATACAGTTATACAATTCCGCATATCTGCATGCTTCTAACAATAAATTAAATATAAAAGCATATTTTCAATGGTTGCCCGACCGACTATTGGTTTATAACACATAACAACACGTAACCACTAAGTTTCGAACTTCTTGGCAAATTACTTCTCGCTGTTATGGCAGCCTATTTCAATATGTTTGGTCTAAAACAAACGGTTAATAAACTAAACCCCCGACACACTCTGGTACGACGTATTTGAATGAATGTATTTATATGAAGGTGTTTATCGTACGGCTATATGGTGTGGTAAACATGTTCACTTTAACTTAAAAATAATTATTTAAACTTTAAATTATCGTATGCGTTGAGAAACAAATCGTGCGGGATAGCAGCAGTTACTCGAATGTTACAATGACACAAACTTGTAATAATATCACCTGAATATTTATTTCCAAAAGATATCCATAAAAGTATAATAGAATGGTAATATATTGCCGTAACTGCAAATTAGCGCCCGCCGGCAGCATATGAAAATACGATTTCTCTGTCTTTTTGGCACTTGGAGTTGGTCATGTAATAACAAAATTATCACATAATATCACTTGCGGATTCAAAGTCAAGAGTAGTTATTTATCTGTGCATGCCAAATTAGATAGTTAATATTCACTCAAAACTGTTTGAATTCTTGCAAAAACGTTTATTATAAGGCAACACGTTCCTCCTAAGTGGTTTGGCATTCAATTTCTTACATTGCAATGCTTATGGTAACAATGGTATACATATCTGTTTTGTTTTGAAAAAAAAACGTAACCAGCACGTAGCCATTATAATTATTAATCTCATTGTATGCAAATTACATCTTTAGAGTGTGAGCATGTCCAACGGAAGGATGGTGATTGGATATGTCTCCATTTCCATATTTAAGCATTGCAAATATTGTTGCGTCAAGTATTTTAATACACAGCTGTATGGGAACATCGCCGTCATATTTGCTTACTCGTGACAATAGATTTTAAATAATAGAATGGATGATGTAGACAACGTGTCTTACTGGTGATGGTGGCTTATTAAATGGTAAAACAATTCTCACCTATTTGACATGGTTGTGAATTGCACTGTACTTCTTCAGTGGCATCCCCAGCGCAAGTCGCCGCAATGCATGTACGAGTCCTATGGGACAAACCGACATTGCATTCCGCTGAACAAACAGACCAGTCTCCCCATTCGCCCCATCCATCAGAATCCTGGGCCACTGTCAATTAAGAAATCAATATGGTTATGTCCAGGTCCAAAAAAGCAAGCAATCTATATTCAGTATATCTGACAATGCGCGGGTGAGTTAGAACCTTTCGTGAAAAAAATGATAGCTCTATGTTACACGAAATTAAAGATCGTCACTGTTCTAATGAAGTGTTGGTCTCCAAATAACCGACCCGAAAAAATTATATATATTACCGATCACTAACACGCATTGCATAATATGCATCTTTTCGGCACTTTTTTTGATTAAAACTCACTTTTTCAATGTTATTTGAACTCGAGGTGTGCATTTATTTACAGTGAGTCACACTAACACTGACAATACTACTAAGTGAAATTCATGTAAAACATAACAATTTTGATTGATTGTTTGTTGTACCCAAAACAAATTCAAACGTTTGGCATAAGATAAAACAAAATCGAATAAAATTAATTTTGTTATAAATCTGACGTTTTTGGTAAAAAAAATGATAATTAGGCTTTAATCGATATCAAGGAGATTAAATTGAGGGTTTTTTGTAATTCTAAACAAAGGTCACGACATTCTTTCCTCCATATACATTATAAGAATATAATTCGAATAAATGTGAGTTCTAGAATAGATTGAACATCCTACCCGTGTATGTGACCAAGATCCATACGTAAAATATATGTATTACTGATATCCTCATCCTGGTCTTAATCTCTCTTTCTCTCTCTTTCCTGGCAGCAATGCTAGATTTGAAATATCTGGATTGCTATTTATATCACATTTAAATATGTGTGTATTTTATAGTTTTCATTTACATTAAGAACATTTTAGTATTTTTTCTAAACTAGTAAGTGATACCACGCTGTGATTAAATGCGCCGCGATAAATAAAACATTTTTTGGAGTATTGGAAATATTTTTTTGGCGTAAGCTGGTAGGCTGGTTTTGTTAGACGTGTTATTATTGCTTGAAAATTTGCTTTATCAATGACCAGACCATGAATTAGCCAATGAGCGACGGTGTAATATCAAGCGAATTACATCAAGCTATTAGTGCTATAGGTGGGGAGTATATCGATTTTGTTGCGTGTCTACACAGCGGCTAAGGCTCATTACGTGGCCAATATATAATGGTGTTGTTTTGTATATTTACACCTATGGCGAAAACCTTTTAGCGTGTCTTTTGAAGTGCGTAGAACAAAGACGTAAACGGTACCCAAGACAATGTGTTTTTTCTATATTTTTCCGGTATTAGCTAGTTTCATACACGTGGTGTTATTCACATATGCTCAATATATATGAGGTTTTTCGTCGTCGACTGTTAAAATAAAATATTTGGTGGACGTATTGTGAATAAACAAGCTTTTTGATTCATAGAGCTCGCAAATACTTGAGAAAAACTAAAGTGAATCTCACAGCTGATAAAAACAAATAGCGTGGACATACACATCTTATAAATCTATTTTCATATGTACACAGTAAGATATATTGAGTTGCTCTACTTCAAGTAGTCAGATCAGTTGCCACATGGCTTTGTCGTACCTGTAAAATCAACACAGTGTACCCAGCATGGTATACGCAAAGATAGTGACTGATGTGACTATTGTATGTAGACTACCAATACACTACATGTTTGTCGTATTTACCATTCCCTCCCCCTCCGTCTGACCATGGATCATCAACATGTTCATGTCAAATAGATACATAGCAAAACACCAAGTAGTACGAAATTGTGTGAAATTAACATTTACGACGCGGTTGTGGTACAAACTGACGGTTCATTAAACCATGGAAGGTATTAACGTTAGTACCTTCCATGATTAAACCTAACCACTGTTTACTATGAATAGTCAAACAATAGACATACATTTCCAAAACAAGCAACGGAAAGGTGTTGTCTATGGTTGGCGGTGAAGGATATAAGTGTGTATTTTCATATGTACCAATTCGAATTTATATATATATATCAATATATAAATCAACCAATAAGCAATAGGAACAAAATTTCTTATATATGTAATTTTTGTGCTTATGTAATTCGATTTTCATATCTATATGTGTAATTCGAGTTCCATATGTATGTAATCCGATTTCCATATGTGTGTAATTCGATTTACAAATGTATGTAATCCGAGTTCCATATTTATGTAATTCGATTTTAATATGTATGTGATTCGATTTTCATATCTATATAATTTGATTGTCATATGTATGCAATTAGATTTCCGTAATATGTGTATAATTCATTATCATGTGTGTGTAATTCAATTTCTATTTATACTTCGATTTCCATATGTGTGTAATTCGATTTACAAATGTATGGAATTCGATTTCCATATGTGTGTAATTCGATTTACAAATGTATGTAATTCGATTTCCATATGTGTGTAATTAGATTCCCATATGTGTGTAACTCGATTTACAAATGTATGTAATTCGATTTCCATATGTGTGTAATTCGATTTCCATATGTGTGTAATTCGATTTACAAATGTATGTAATTCGATTTTCATATGTGTGTAATTCGATTCCCATATGTGTGTAATTCGATTTACAAATGTATGGAATTCGATTTCCATGATTGTGTATTTCGATTTTCATATTTATGTAATTCGATTTCCATGTTTGTGTATTTCGATTTTCATATTTGTGTAATTCGATTTCCATATGTGTGTAATTCGATTTCCAAATGTATATAATTCGATTTCCATATGTGTGTGATTCGATTTCGATATTTATGTAATTCGATTCCCATATGAGTGTAATTCGATTTCCAAATGTATATAATTCGATTTACATATGTGTGTAATTCGATTTCCATATTTATGTAATTCGATTTCCATATGTGTGTAATTCGATTTACAAATGTATGTAACTCGATTTCCATGTGTGTAATTCGATTTACAAATGTATGTAATTCGATTTCCATATGTGTGTAATTCGATTTACAAATGTATGTAATTCGATTTCCATGTGTGTGTAATTCGATTCCCATATGTGTGTAATTCGATTTACAAATGTATGGAATTCGATTTCCATGTTTGTGTATTTCGATTTTCATATTTATGTAATTCGATTTCCATATGTGTGTAATTCGATTTCTATATTTATGTAATTCGATTTCCATATGTGTGTAATTCGATTTTCAAATGTATATAATTCGATTTCCATATGTGTGAGTCGATTTCCATATTTATGTAATTCGATTTCCATATGTGTGTAATTCTAATTCCATATGTGTGTGATTCGATTTCCATATGTGTAATACGTTTTCCATATTTATGTAATTCGATTTCCATATGTGTGTAATTCAATTTACAAATGTATGTAATTCGATTTCCATGTGTGTGTAATTCGATTCCCATATGTGTGTAATTCGATTTACAAATGTATGGAATTCGATTTCCATGTTTGTATATTTCGATTTTCATATTTATGTAATTCGATTTCCATATGTGTGTAATTCGATTTCTATATTTATGTAATTCGATTTCCATATGTGTGTAATTCGATTTTCAAATGTATATAATTCGATTTCCATATGTGTAAGTCGATTTCCATATTTATGTAATTCGATTTCCATATGTGTGTAATTCTATTTCCATATGTGTGTGATTCGATTTTCAAATGTATATAATTCGATTTCCATATGTGTAAGTCGATTTCCATATTTATGTAATTCGATTTCCATATGTGTGTGATTCGATTTCCATATGTATAATACGATTTTCATATTTATGTAATTCGATGTCCATGTGTGTGTAATTCGATTTCCATATTTATGTAATTCGATTTCCATATGTAATTCGATTTCAATGTGTATGTAATTCGATTTCCGTATGTAATTCAATTTAAATGTGTATGTAATTCGATTTCAATGTTTATGTGATTCGATTTCCATGTGTGTGTATTTCGATTTTCATATTTATGTAATTCGATTTCCATGTGTGTGTAATTCGATTTCCGTATGTAATTCGATTTCAATGTGTATGTAATTCGATTTCCGTATGTAATTCAATTTCAAATGTGTATGTAAATCGATTTCAATGTTTATGTGATTCGATTTCCATGTGTGTGTATTTCGATTTTCATATTTATGTAATTCGATTTCCATGTGTGTGTTATTCGATTTCCATATTTATGTAATTCGATTTCCATATGTGTGTAATTCGATTTCCGTATGTAATTCGATGTAATTCGATTTCAATATGTATGTAATTCGATTTCCGTATGTAATTCGATTTCAATGTGTATGTAATTCGATTTCAATGTGTATGTAGTTCGATTTCAATGTGTATGTAATTCGATTTCAATGTGTATGTAATTCGATTTCAATGTGTATGTAATTCAATTTCAATGTGTATGTAATTCAATTTCAATGTGTATGTAATTCGATTTCAGTGTGTGTGTAATTCGATTTCCGTATGTAATTCAATTTCAATGTGTATGTAATTCGATTTCAATGTGTATGTAATTCGATTTCAATGTGTATGTAATTCGATTTCAATGTGTATGTAATTCGATTTCAATGTGTATGTAATTCAATTTCAATGTGTATGTAATTCGATTTCAATGTGAATGTAATTCGATTTCAATGTGTATGTAATTCAATTTCAATGTGTATGTAATTCAATTTCAATGTGTATGTAATTCGATTTCAATGTGTATGTAATTCGATTTCTGTATGTAATTCGATTTCAATGTGTATGTAATTCAATTTCAATGTGTATGTAAATCGATTTCAATGTTTATGTGATTCGATTTCCATGTGTGTGTATTTCGATTTTCATATTTATGTAATTCGATTTCCATGTGTGTGTTATTCGATTTCCATATTTATGTAATTCGATTTCCATATGTATGTAATTCGATTTCAATGTGTATGTAATTCGATTTCCGTATGTAATTCAATTTCAATGTATATGTAATTCGATTTCAATGTGTATGTAATTCAATTTCAATGTGTATGTAATTCGATTTCAATGTGTATGTAATTCAATTTCAATGTGTCTGTAATTCGATTTCCGTGTGTAATTCGATTTCAATGTGTATGTAATTCAATTTCAATGTGTATGTAATTCGATTTCAATGTGTATGTAATTCAATTTCAATGTGTATGTAATTCAATTTCAATGTGTATGTAATTCGATTTCCGTATGTAATTCAATTTCAATGTGTATGTAATTCGATTTCAATT